TCGGGTTATGACTGGGATGCTGGCAAGGTACTTTTTGAGCTCGTCGAATGCGAGCTGGCACTCTTCGGTCCTTTCGAAGCCTTTGCTTTTTATTGCCTTAAAGAAAGGCAGGCAATGGTCTGCTGACTTGGACATAAAATGGCTCAGAGCGGCTAAACGGGCATTCAACTTCTGAACCTCCTTCAATTTCTGGGGTGGTCTCATTTCTATGATAGCCTTAATTTTGTCCGGGTTAGCCTCAATGCCGCGCCGGTTAACGATGTACCCTTGGAATTTACCCGAGGTGACACCAAAGACACACTTATTCGGGTTCAATTTCATGTTAAACTTACGCAGAATTTCAAAAACCGAATGCAAATCTTGTATTAAATCATGTGAAAATTGGGTTTTGACAACCATGTCGTCTGCATAACATTCTATTTTCCTTCCAATCAATGGCTCAAATAATTTATTTACAAGTCTCTGAAAGGTTGCCCCAGCATTTTTTAACCTAAAGGGCATGACCTTGTAACAGTACAGGCCGAGCTCGGTTATGAAGGCAGTCGTTTCTTTGTCAGTTGGATCCATCCTGATCTCGTTGTAGCCTGAATAGGTGTCTAAGAAGCTCGGAAACTGATGCCCTGAGGTCGCGTCCACCAGACGGTTGATCCTGGGGAGTGGGAAGCAGTCCTTTGGGCAAGCTCGGTTCAGGTCGGTGTAGTCGATGCACATGCGTCATTTACCGTTAGCCTTTTTAACGGAATAGGGTTGGCTACCCAGCTCGGGTAATGGACTTCCCTGTTAGAGTCGGATGCGAGGAGCTTCCCGACCTCCTCGTCGACTGCCCTCCATCGCTCTGGGGCTAAGTTGCGTTTCTTCTGTCTGACGGGCTTAACTACAGGATCAGTATTTAGCTTGTGAGTTATAATGCTAGGGTCTATGCCGTGCATCTCTACCGCGGACCATGCAAAAACATCTAAATTTTTAAGTAAGAAACTTACCAGTTGGGATCACAGAGGCTCCTCAATAGAAGCGCCGATCTGAAGTGTTCAAGTCGGGTCCTCTGTCGATGCCGGGATGGATACAGTCTCTTTTGTGGGTGCAGCTCGTTTCTCGCATTGCTCCGTAAGTCGCTCCAGGTCGAGGTCGTTGGCCACCTTAGCTTTCCCTTTGAGGGCGGCGACGTAGCACTTGCGAGGCTCAAGCTGGTCTCCTCGCGCTATCCCGATTCCGAAGTCTGTGGGGAACTTCATTGCCAAATAGTAAGTGGAGACAACAAGTCTGCACTAAGAAGTCGTGGTTGAGCCTCACTATGCTAGGCTAGGTGCCGACTTCCATAGGTATTGTTATCCTTCCTAGGGGCCTGACTTCCTCTCCGCTGAAGCCTACCAAGGGAGTATTCACGGGTTTCAGGTCGTTCTCTTGAAGCTGGAGCTGGTTGAATGCTGCTTTGAAAAGGATATCCGCCGAGCTATTCGAGTCGACGAGGATACGCCTGACTTCAAAGTCATTAGTCTTTATCTTTATGACGAGTGCGTCATCATGGGGTTAGTGGACCCCGCGCGCGTCATCCTCTGTGAAGAAGATCGGGTCTTCCGTCCTTGGCCGCTTCAGGGGATTCTGATCTTCCCTAGCGGTCTCGCGAGCTGATGCCCCCCGGAAGAGAGACCAGTTCGGGGGACTATCCACGTGATCGTCCCCCGGAAGAGAGGCTGCACTTCGGCAGCCTGCGATAATTGAACCTCCGACGATCACGTGGATAGTCCCCCGAACTGGTCTCTCTTCTGGGGGCTGCCTCTGCGGTTGCTCTGCCTGCCTGCTGGGTTTAGGAGCATCTCTACTATGCTCCCCCTATCGACCTACTTTATTATTATTATTATTTTGTACAAAATTTCTCAAGTATCCGCGACGGATGAGCTCCTCTATCTCGTCGCGAAGGTTTTTACAGTTTTCAGTACTATGACCGTGGTCTTTATGGAAATTACAATACAAATTTTTATTCCTTACATTAGGATCTGCCTTCAAAAGAGGTGGCCACTTCACATACGGGGCGTCCTTGATGGCCATAAGGATCTCAGCCCGCTTTGCGTTTAGGGGCGTGTAGTCCGTCCTTTCTACTGTTGGAGCTTGGAAAGGCTGTCCTGGCCTTGCCCCCGGAGGTTGGTCCTTCTTCTTCTTACTATTGCTCTGAGTTGAGGGCTCTGTCTCCCTTTTTCTTTTCTCAAGGGCCTATTCACCTTTCTGGTTGATCTCCTCCCCAGTCCTTATAAACTGATCCGCGAGCTTGAGGAACTCGGTGACAGTCTTGTGCTGATTAACAACCACATGCCACTTGAATTCTTTATGGGTGATGCCTCGCTTGGCCGCCGTGAGCCGAACTGCGGGGTCTAGATCGGGTATTTGCAAGCAAGTGTCATTGAACCGCTTGATATAGCTTCGGATGGACTCCCCTTCATTCTGGACTATGCCAAGGAGGCTCTCTTGAATTCTTGGGCATCTCTTGCTGGTGACAAAATGGGAAACAAAGACTTGCACGAATTGCGCCCAGTTTCTTATCGATCCGGGCGCAAGGTTTCGGTACCATGTGCGGGCTACCCCTTTGAAGGTGGTGGAGAAAGCCATGCACATTCAGGATTCACTGGCCCTTGCTAGGTGCATTTGGGACTGGAAGGCATCCACATGGTCATTCGGGTCGAAGGATCCATCATACTTATCCAGTGGAGGAAGCTTGAAGTCCTTTGGCATAGGAACAACAAGAAGTTCTGGTGATAGAGGAGAAGGAACTGAAAGGAGTGGAGTAGCTTTTACTTCACCCGAGCTTACCTCTTCCTTACCCCAGAGCTCGGGCAGATCGTGAGTGGGAGCTCGGTGAGCCCGGTGGCGCCTCCGTTGCTTCTTTGTTGGCTCATCGTTAGTGCTGCTGGCCTCGGTATTACCGAGCTCAATGGGCCCAGAGAGGGGCTCAGACTGTTGTTGGTAGCTGCGAACTGAGGGGCCTTGCCTCAAGTCTGCAGCCAGCACCTCGACCTGGTTTTCAGTGAGTGGGAGCCTGAACTGCGAATGCTGAGGCGATGCGGGCCTCACTGGCTGGGAGGCCCCCGACCTGACTACAGGCTACGAGGCAGGGGTAGCTAGTCTCTCTTTCTCGCCGTGAGATGATGCCGAGGTCTCTCCCCGGCAAGAAGGAAGTTCGTTCCGGCAGCGAGGCTTAGCTTGTTACGTGGCCGGATGCCAAGGAGGGAGTGGCTGCTGGGCCTGAGGCAGTGGAGGAAACTGCTGTTGATATTGATACTGGGAAACTTGGTGCAGCACTTGCTGCTGATAAAGTTGAAGCTGCTGGAACTGTTGCATTTGAGCTTGCATAGCTCGCATGCATTGCATCAGGTCCTCAAGCTGGCTTTGACTGGCCACCGAAGGGATGATGGAGGGTTCAGTGAAGGTTGTTTCGATTGTGGAAGCAAGTGGAATGTTCACGGGTGCCACTATCTAAGTTACATTCAGACTGGGAACTTTGTCCGCAAAGAGGGAGACGGTGAACTGTCCAATGCAGACAGTGGGAAGCTGGGGTTGTTCCTCAAAGGCGTTTCGGTTTGCACCTCGTCCGACATTGCTGGAAGAAGCCATGGATGCTGAGTTCTGAGAGTTGTAGAGATTGGAGGAAGGCTTTTTGAAGCGTTTCCCACAGACGGCGCCAAATGATGATGTGCGATCCGGGCACTCCTAGCTGGCAGAAACCTGGCTCCTAGCTGGTGACGGACGGTACCTGAGGCGAAGAATTCCTAGGGAGCTCGCTCGGCGGGAACACTCTGATGCTTAAGTTAGAACTATGAGAGAGCTGAAGAATACAAACAAAGAGCTAAGAGTGTAGGTGGTGCAAGTTCAGTACCTTGGCTCCTTGAGGGTCGTGGTCTTTTTATATTGGGGATCTCTCAAATCAGGTGTAACCGTGTTTGCCACAGCCGTTACTGCCAGAGCCGAGGTGGCGGAAGCGGGTAGCCATTGTAGGGTACGGACATGTCAGGCATGCCACATCTGGCAGATGTGGCAGGCACGACGCCGCCTGACAAGAGACGTGGGCGCAGCCTCCAGATTCGGCAGGTACTATTGTCAGGCAGATCTTTCCTGCAGGTTGCCGAGCTACTTTTCACCGAGCTGCCTTGGTTCGAACTACCTTACACCGGGGTGTTGGGGGTACGCCGAGGTGCTTATGCTTGAGGCGTGCCATAGGTAAGTATGGGCAAGAGTGTTAATGTGGCTGTCCCGAAGTGCTTCCACTTTGGGATACTTACCCGTAGATCGGGTGTTTCCTTCTCAGGAAGGAAGAGTTTGGGGCCCGCTGAGAGGAGCTTGGGGGTCCTCGCTTGGAGGGAGCTCGGGGCGCTCCTCCCTTAGGGAGAATTCGGGATAAGCTGGATGCTTCTTCTCGGTGAGTTGCCACGCCCACTAAGTTGTATCGCTGGGCTCCGACGAGTTCATTATGCCGAGTTATGGCCAGGCTGCCACGCTGAGTTGTCACTTATGCCAGGTTGTACCCACGTGTCCCCGTGCTATGTGGTCGGGCCAAATCACCCTCCATCAATAATTAAAGGAAAACTTTTCTCCCAGAAATTGCTTTGGTTTTGGTCCAAAGATGATGGAATATTCAGAGGAGGAGAAAGACAAAAGTGTTATAGCAGGGATGAAAAATTTGACGGTTGGTTCTACTTTGGTTTTGTGTCTTTTCACATGCCACTTAACGGATGGTTAACAATAGGTATTAGATTGTCGCATTTTGAAAGTTTGGATACCGAATTATCACATTTTAAAGTTCGAGGACCAAATTATCAGTTGAGCCAAAGTACAAGATACTAATGAGTAATTTTCCCCTAATTCATATTTGGAAAGAGGTCAGTATAGGGGCTATGTTTCAGGAAAAATAACACGGAGGTAAATGTAAAGCCCTCAAAATACAGGGGTTTTATTATATACCCTGGCCCCTGGCTCCTTTGAGTAAAATTTTGTAACATGATTCCCAAGTCAACTCCGTGACTTCCGAGTTGACTCCAGTACTGGGCTTGCCGAGACGAGTCAGAAACCCGAATTGGCGAACTCCGAGCTGTGTTTAACTATTTATGCACTGATACTGATCCACCATTCGTGGTTTCGCGCCAATAGCAGATGATAGAGGATGAGGGTCTTGTTTTCCTGCAGCAGCTCAATTTTAGTGGGAGCAACGCCACTGACTAGAAAAGCAGCCAATCCTCATTATTTCTCCTCGCCGATTATCAGCTTCAACGCCGAACCGAATAATGGCAACCATCCAAAATGGCCTCAGAAACTTCTACTGCGTGCATTTACGGCAGCTCTCTCTTTTGGGTTCATCGTTTCGTCTCCCTCTTCCATTGCCATTGCTGCACAGTCCCCATCCCTTCAAATTCCACCCCCTCCTTCTCCTCCTTCCGAGCTTTGCCAAGAAGAAGAAGAAGCGGAGGAACAAACACCAGAACCCGCTCCAGAATTCGTTACCAATGAAGCAATTGTAGAAGAAGCTTGGGAGATCGTCAATGATAGCTACCTTAACACCGGGCGCCGTCAGTGGTCCCCCGATATATGGATGGTATGGCATTACCAAACCTTTGTTTTTCTTTCTTTTTTGTTTCGAATAGGATACTCCATAAATTGTTTTTTCTGGGTTTCATTGAATTGTTCAGCAGTAGTTGTCTGATGTTATATCTTGGGCATCATTATTTATCCAAAGATGGAGTAACTCTTAATATTTAGCCCTTTTTTTTTCAAATTCCAGCAAAAGAAGACAGACATAGTCGGTAGCTCTATTCAAACAAGGTCTAAAGCTCATGACATCATCCGGCGGATGTTGGCTAGCTTGGGTGACCCTTATACACGGTTTCTTTCTCCTTCAGAGGTAATTCTTTCCTATTTGATTTATTTGAGAGACACTCAGACACGGCAATTTGTTCCTCATAGGTGAGTAACCGTTTACGGTATGAGACTTGGCAAGTGTAGATATTTTGTTTGTAGATGTTTGCTTTTACCTTTTTGCTTATATTGGTGATCTTTTCCAAGAAATACTATTATGGTGAAAGGACTGCTGGCATTAATGAACATAAGATATTACTTCTGAACTCTGAATCCTACCTTGAAATGGGTTTTTTCTTTTTTAGTAGTATTACCTTTTTTATTGTATTTTTTTCCTTTTTGTATATCCTCAAATTATACAACATGTGAGGACAAGTTCTTTAATTTTAGTATTAGCAACTCTTTTTGTTGCAGTTTTTGTGGTTCTCCTCAAGTTATAGCATATAGAAAGCACAATTTCTTACAACTTTATGTATATTAACATGCCCTATATTTATCTCTTAGTGTGGTAGAATATACTATATCATGGAAGGACAAATGCATTTTATATTTGTTGGAAGAATTACTTTAAATAATTCATCAAAAAAAAAGAATTACTTTAAATAATCCCTTACCTGAATTGGTTTTATTATAGTATCAGAAAACAAAATAGATGATTCTGCTTCTGCCATCATGCATGACCAAGGATACATTAAGGTTTCCCAAACATCAGGAGCCCTTTATTTATTTATTTATTTTTTCTGTTTATTCCCTTCCCCCACTTAATGGGGAGTAAACTGGGTTTTGGCTAGAATGCAGTGTGACCTTCATATTTTGTTTTGAAGCCTAAAAGTCTTCATAGCTAAAGAACACATGGTTTAGTAAAGGAATTTGGGTTTTCAGTTATCTTTCTTGGGATAAAAGTTGTCTGGTGTGCTGGAGAAGAAATCTCTAGACTTGGTATTTGAGAGAAAAGTTCATGAATTTAATATTGTTGGTCTTGTTTAGTTCTTTGAGACCTGGAGCACCAAGGCTGATAAAATCTAACTTAGAATAGACCCCTTGTATATTCAGCCCATGTGGCAACTTAAAACATAAAAACTGGATCATATCAGTTAAGTTTGGGGTTTCCAATGGCCAGCTTGTGCAGATAGCTCAGTTTTGAACCTTGTCATTATTCCAATACACAGAAGTGGATGATTAATAATGGTTATGAAGATCAGGGAGGGGAACTCTAATCTAGAGCGCAGGTCTGGGGGATTGTGGAGGGAAAGAGAGATGGAGAAGGAAAGTGAGGAGGAAATAGTGTTTGTTTTCCATAACAATTGTCCTGTTCCTTTGCTGTGGCCCGAGTCTGATGTATGTAAGAGGTTACAACTTCTTGGCATAGTAGCTAGTTTATGATGATCAAAGTGAACTGTGCCATTGTTGTCATCTTATTCAACGACACAATGATAAGTAGGATATTACCCATGGAATTGGGGATAGGGGTGCAAATGGATCGGATCATGATCCGATCCTATTTGGCCGGGTTTGGATCACCCCCGCTCAGATCTTCGGATTGGATAATAGGGTCCGATCAGAAATCGGATTGGATTTGGATCACCCCTATCTGATCCAAGAAGATCCGATCCAATATATGTTATATATTTACAAATATAAATATATATAATACATATATATATATTATATGTTATTTATTTAAAAATATATTATTTATATTGTATTTTTATAAATTTGTTATATTATTTATTTTTTTATAAAAAACATGTATATATATGATGAAGATAATTAAAAAAATACTTCAAATATAGAGGCCTATCAGGGATCAGATTCAGATATACCCTGATTCGAATCCGATCTGATCCGTTTGCATCCCTAATTGGGGATATGATGAAGTAAATGTTTGCCTATTTATTTTCTATAATTGGCAAGAGCACATCAGCTGTGATTGAAATTTTAACAAACAGCTGTGCTGACTTTGATTTGCCATGGTTCACAGATATAGAAAGGCCCATAGCTTTGACAAGGTTTCCAACATGGAAATTCACCCTAAAAAGTTAAATTGACACAACACAACACCCCTGTATTATTGCTGATTTCTAGAAAAGAATGTTGAGTTCAAGAACCCACGTATTAAAGCCACACAAAAATATTTAATTGTAGCTTAGTGTGTGCTTTCCATAGCAATTGCTTCACTCCCTTTTCTGTGGCCCAAGCCTGGTATATATAAGAGGTTATGGTTTCTTGGCATAGTATTTACTTTCTGATGGTCAAAGTAAATTGTGCCATTGTTGTCATCTTATTGAATAACACAATGACAAGTATGAAATTGTCCATGGAATTGGTGATAAAATGAAGAAGTAAAGGTTTTCCTATATATTTTTCTGTAATTGACACGTGCACATCAGCTCTGATGGAAAATTTTAACAAACAACTGTGCACTGTGATGACTCTGATTTTCCATGGTTCCCATATATAGCAAGGACATACTTCAGTTAACGAAATGGAAATTCACCCCCCAAAATTAAACTGTCTGACAAAACATAATACTCATGTACAACTATCTGGGTACCATTGCTGACTAGTCATTGCATCATCTAGAGAATCCAAAATGACTAGTCATCGCCTAACTGCATTGATAACATATCAATAAGGACCAAAGGTACCATGTGGCATGTGCAGTATAAACAACACCAATATGTACAATGAGATGTAATATAATACAATCAGATATGGTTTGCATTTTTTGATTAATAACAAAATATACTTTCTTATATATCAGCCAAAGATTGGTATGTAGTTTCGGTGACCCTGTGGTTGTCAGCACTTGAAAATTGTTTTTCAAGTCTGATCACCCCAGTTAACTTTCCAACTTTGACTTCGATCTCAGCACTGAAGAGCTGGTGTGCATCGATGAACCCCTTCCGCTGGAGGAAGGAGTTACACGGAAGACAATCATTTGAACAGAGGTAGAAGGTTATTTTCTGAATTTTCAAAAGAATATCGGTCACGTGCTGTCACATGCGGTGGAGTATGATGGAAAATTAACGGCAAGGGTGTTAGACAGTGTATGCCCTTAGCTCCAATCAGATTGATGTACATTATGACATTTATTGTAAATGAATAAAGTACATATTTGATTCATGTTATAGTGGTGTGTTTCTGTGTAATACCCTTAAATTGGACACTTAATGAGACTCG